CAATATTTTACAAATAGCGCGCTGTCAAGAGTGCCAAATCTGTAGGGAAGCTAGGTCTCACTGCTAAGGGTGAGGGGATGCTGTGGGGCTATGCCTTTCGAACCGTTTCGTGCCTTCGATCCGTGCATCATGGAATCCGTGTGATCGATAGCGTTGCAATCAGTCGGGACGGAAGGGGCGCATTTGGCGCGCCTCCTGCCCTCCTTTTTATAAATATTGCTCGGCTGATGATTGATTCAGGAAAAAGCAACTAGCGGTGGACGCAGGTGAGCTCAGTCCGTACTCTCGAAGCATACATTGCGATAATATTAGCTGTATCAACGGTCTTGTCCACAACTAAATTGCTGTTCTTCTTGGGATTCGAAGGGATAAAGTCGAATAATCTCTACAATCTTCACACACATCTTATTGTTCATTCGTGCACATTCATTTGTGCACAAAGGATTTATGGAGCTTGATTCTGGATAAGGGCTAGGATAGGAGTAAGGTGCCTCAGGTCGACTCAAGTTTCGGGTGCCTGATAAAACTGCCATGGTCCGAGGCCATTGCCTGTGCCGGCAATAGGCGCAGTCCCGCGCTAGGCCCCGCCGTCCCCAGCTGAGGCCTCTCTTTTGGCTACCCCTGCCGGTTGAAAGTAACCTCGAGGCAAGATGCCATGATGACAGGACGGCACTCACACTAAAGTACACTCAAGTACGACATGAACTGAGCGCTGCGGTACGATTGGGCACACCGCAGCTGTCCTGGACGGAGCGCCGGTACACATGCGATCGGCCTATCCTATCGGTGTTTGTTCCGCTTGGGCCGGAGGGTGCAGACGGCTGTAGTGCTGTTACCAGTGCGAGCTGGCATCGCACCGGTGGAGATAAGGCTTTCCACTCTTGTGGATACTTGCTCAGTTCATAAGTCGGCGATAACAAGGGAACTTAAAGGCACGTTCCGCGATAAACTAAGGCTAGAACCTCATAAACGTGCATGATGATCAAGCAGGCAACAGTAGAGGATATGCTGCTTTTAAAAGTTGAAAAACAGCAAGCAGAACGCACGGCGCTCATGTTTTAGGCCCATTGGCGCCCGATAGGCCCATGCCGGCCTCCGGTGACCGTGTCGTTGTGACATTGCCATTGCGCTCTCTCGCCCGTCATTTTCTGGCCTCTCTCGTCTCTTATCAGTGTATCGCCGCCTTTTGCAATCCACAATTGATCTTGACCACCTTACGCTCGTCCGGTGATCATGATCAATTGAAATAAAGAGGGTCTTATTGCGGGCGCTTTTTCGTGGTTCCTTCTCTTCAATAAGTCAACAATCACAGGGCAATTCTATTTTTGAACTGTATTACCTATGAAGTGTGGTCGCGGGAATGCCTTTAACCTGTCAGAAGAGCTTAAATGCCAAGCGAACATCGGCAGGGGGGGGGCGAACGGTTCACGATACACGAGACATTCTTAGGAGTGAGAACACCACTTGATTCATAGGAAATGATACACTCGAGAGCCATGGGAACCCCATGCTTCAGATCAGGGGATTTTACAAGACTTCCTTCTAGTTTCCTGGAATCTCAGAAGTTCCTCCCACAGACACTTCTATACCCACGTTTTAACCGTAACGATCAGTTTATCCTCGAATTTAAGGAAATTGCGATCACACCCGAACTCGTTTAGGGCGCCACATCACGAATGTCTGTGTTACAACACAAACTATTTTCCTGGAGCTTGTACATACTTCAAATGCACCTATGTGGAACAGTTATCCTATTGCACCCACTCAGTTGCTCTAGCATTGGTGTTTCTAGGATTCTTGTTATCACATGAAGATAAAGATATATTTCGTCTCATCTTCGCCTTCAGTCCTCAAAGTGAACTACCGCGCACCTCCTTTGCTAGCACTTCACCCTTCTGAAGTACCCATTAACCCTGTCGCACTAGATTTATGTCTTCGAAATTTCTGTCTTTGCTCATGAAGGATTCTAAAAACTCAGAAAAAACCCGACATAAGGTTCCGTACGACAGGGGCTTTAAAATCCGTGTACGCTTCTTATTGAATAGCTACGTGAGTCTATGATTGTACCTCATGACTCCATGAATGGTCTACGAACGGAGAAAGGAACATATGTGAACTATTCATTCACGTTCTGAATATCAAACACTGCATGTTTCAACTTCTAATTTCTATGTGAAATCCTTCATTCACCTCCCAACAAATCAAGCACTGCATGTTTCAACTTCTAGTTTCATAGAGAGTTCCTCATTCACCTCCCAAGGATCAAACGCTGCATGTTGACTTCTAATTTTCGTGTGGAGTTCTTCATTCACCTTTCAAAATATCACACACTGCATGTTTCAATATCTGATTCTCTTGGTCTTCTTGAATGAGATCCTAAAAAAGACGCATGTTTCCTAATACAGACAATATTGAGTGTTATCTGTTCACAATGTTAGTATATTATCTCTAAGGTTATGCAACAGACCTAACTTTATGCATTCTCACGGCATCTTTTGACGAGACCCCTGAAGTCACACAAATCGCACTGATGCTGCTTCAATGCCATTCTTGCTTCCTTTCTCTCTTTCACTAGGGCCGATGCTGTTTGGGCTCCGATATCTCCGTGATTACGACGCAAGTGTTTCAAATAATTATTGAAAGATGACATAACAGTCCCACAAAGCGAACAGGACAAAGACTCCATGTTCTGAAATCGAAGCCATTGCAATAGTCATGTGCACAAGACAAGTCGCTTTTTACCGCGGCGTCAAATTTCGCAAAATGATCGAGCACTTTTGCAGTAAGTGATAATCTACACTCCTCATCATTACGGACTGTCGGGGCGTATCAGCCAGTAGGAGTGCGCACACTGTTTGAAGCCGTTCTCAGCCTTTTCGTTGAAACGCGTATGCGACAAAAAGTGGTAGAAAACGAGTAATACGAAGGATATAATGCTGTCATGTCATTTGATCGCTTCAACAACTGGTGCAGAAAGACTTTGGAACCGCGGAAAACGCAGCCGCACTGACCCGCCCCGACAGTCCGTAATGATGAGGAGTATAAATCTCGATAAATCTAACGAGTAGAAGACATGATCAGCAACAGCGTAGAAAAAACTGGAACGAGTTTTCGTCACATGTAAAGGCGAGAAAGCCGGGCACAAATTCTATTCACAAGGTAAAAGATATTTGCAAAGTAAAGGAGCACCTAGCTGCTCCCGCCACATTCAAAGCGCTCCAGCGCAATGACCGCGACGCGACCGTTCGCCCCTCGCTGATGTGAAATGTTCGTTTGGCATTTAAGTTTTCTTTGACCTGTCCAAGCAGTCGGCTTATGTTTCCAGTTTCTGAACCCCTGTGCAGTTCTTTCTAGGACCTCGGTTCTAGTATTATGCTAGCTTCCTATTTGTTAAGTTGTCTGATTATGTCTGAGCACCCTTCGAGTGTATGGAATAGAATAAAGTGAAATAAAAATAACTGTTAAATAATTTTTTATTAGAAACATGAAGAACACTGGGACCACAATAACGTTCACTATTGCATTTCGTTGACAGGAAAACTACATAAGTAAAAATCCTGATAATCATATTCCAGGAGTGAATTTCCAATTCTTGAGTAATCCTTTTGAGATACCTTAATCATATTCTTGTACTATACAATGGATATCGTCTTGTGTGATGGGCTACATTACCTACGTTACTTACAATTAACACGGTCATTGCTTATTAATAGTTTACAAATACATAACAAAGAACGAATAAGTGTGATAAATAAAAGTGTTTAACATCGAAGAACTATTTTCAGCACTAAAGTTATTGCACGTGCATCAAGAAAGTACTGAAGTCTGTATTGTTACAAAATGTTCAATTACTAATCATTTTTAACAAAGTAAGAACAGTCACAGACATCTTATGCACAATCCATTTATAAAATAATGAACGATGTCGCTGAGTCTGCGCCCTTTACGTAGTTGTCATGTCCTGCCGAAGATATGCTCTACTGTGAGGTGGACAGGTCCGCAGCTGTTGAAGGGGACCACATTCTTCACTTGAAACTGCACGGAAAAACAAAAATCTGGAGAGTGGCGGTAGCTGAATGCTTGCTCTTTCTCTGTGGAGAAAAGTAGCACGTCTGACTAGGGTTAGGCGCACCGTTGGTAGTGCAGCGTGTTGCGTGTCTGCGGGTCTCGCCTGTGGGTGGAGACACAAAAGAGCACCCAACTATAATTGCTCTACAGTCTCATTACGGCGCACTTTTTGTGACGAGAGTGGCACACTTCTACTGCTGCGGAACAGTTCAAATTGCAGTGGCCTGGATCTTCCCAGAGATAGCGGTGCGGAATATCTCAAAAATGAGTGCTGGCAACGGTATGGAAGGATTTGCTTAAGCAGGCTACTAGACGATCCCTTGAACAGATAGAGGCGTGTATCACTAAGTCACGGGTCACCCTTGGCGTACTGCCCGCGGCACACTCGACTGGATTGGAATGGTAACATAGACCGATGTGCGAACAGTGCGAGCAAGGAGCAGCAAAGTAGTGGCTCTAGGGAGCACCACTCCAGTCATGATCCCTGCAAACGATAAGCCGTGTTTCGAGACATGCATTGGAGTGCTGCCAAGGCGGATTTTCCACTTATGATGCCGACCTGAGTCCGCGGTGATTGCGGGGAGGGCTGTTCTGGGTACGTCCCAATTCACGCCCCTCGCACATCATACCGTTCACCGGGATCGACTGTGATTACATAAAGGACAAATTCGGCGACAGCTATGAAATTTCTAACAACATTTAGTTATCTTGGGTCTGGCTATCATAGGTTACTGCAATTCACTTTAGTTTCTCCTGGCAGGGCTTACATGTCCGCAAGAACCCCTGATCCTTTCGAAACTAGAAACCAAATGTTGTAAACCAGATACAAATATCAATCGTGAACTATGAGATCGATGTTACCATTGCTTAAAAAAGTATTATGAGTGGGAAACTGATCAACAATTAGGCCTTAGAAGGAACGTTTTCTATATTCACAACATATGTGAGTTTTCGTAATGGTGATTTCCAATGCTGATTCGTTTTGATGGATCCGGACTAGCAGTTGTACTCAGCATACTGTACCCTTGTTCATTGTGTTCCGAGCTGGCACCTGCAGCAGTACGATCTAGAAATTAAAGAAAATGGGCTAACAGCATACTTAATCACTTCACTCGGTTGGGGCCTTTCAATAAGCAAATTCGATTGCAAAATTGCATGACCATGCATTCTTAGCCTGCATTCATACTTTGCGGCGCCGTCAACTAGCGACCAAAGCGAGCGTCCGAGAGTGGAGAGTATGAGGCGACGGTAGAGTAGCAGACAGCTGAAGAGTATGGGGAGATGGGACTGTAGCGGACTGCTTGTAAAGAGTGTGGGGAAGTAGGAGGGTAGTATGGCGCGATAGAAGAGTAGCAGACTGCTGATGCCCTCCTATCGCCCCATACTCTCTACCAGCAGTCTGCTGCTGGTCGCTGGTAGACGCTGGCAGACGCTAGATCGATATCTATACTTTCCCAGTCGCTGACGCTGCCGGACGCTCGGAACTCTGCTAAACGCTATTGACCGCTGCTGGATGCTGTAGTAAAGTATGAACGCAGCCTTGCATACGAATTTTCTTCTTGATGGTAGTTCCCACCCTCACTGTTTCTTACTCATGATGCTATAGTATCATGAGACTCTCAACAAAAGTAGTCCTTACCTTGTTTCAAGTACTTCTCGCAAAGCTTTCCAACAACGGCAGCACCAATACTATCACCATGAACATTTACTGTTGTACGAATTCTGTCCAAGAAGAAATCGACGGGGAATATCAAAATGAACAGGTTTGATGGCAATCCAATGGCGATCAGTACCATAATCATGGTTACAATTCCTTGAACAATGCTTTTCAAGGACTTCGAGTAATTATGGAAAATTCGAAGACTAGATCTATGGTGTCTCTTATTCACACACCTGCCTGTGGGATACCAGCGGCTCCAATGCTGGCTAATGTTGCGGTGAGGCTGAAAATGAGTTTCTAATGTTGAGAAAAAAATTCTCCCTTAATCATCTATAGATGCTTCTCAACGAGAACACTTTGACGAAAACTATTCTGTGAATGTCGGAGATGATCGCTGCGGGATTCAAGTGTACTAAAATTATGTCAAGTTTGGCTAGCAGTGAGGGTACTGTTCTGATGTACAGTTATGATCCCTGCAAATGATAGGGTGTGCGGGGGGGGGTACGAATTGGATGGCAGTCAGAACAGTCCTCCTGCCGATTGTTGCAGAGTCTTGGATGGCATCATTGACGGGAGGCTGTCTTGGCAACACTACAATCCGTGTCCCGCCACACGCCCTATAGTGCAGGGGCTTTGACATTACGATAGTTGCTTCGTCAACTGCGCTTGAGTTTGGAAACAATGTTTACTGACTGGTTGAAGTTTCGGTGAGTTAGACTTCGTGGCTTGACAAGATAAAAATCGATTTATGAACCACCAAATGTATCACACTCTTAGAGAAACCGTTGTTTGATAACTGCTGTTTGACGCCGCAGTACGCGATACGAAAGCTTTCAGCTTAGAGAAACCTTTGCCCTCCTCTACCAACCACGTAAAAAATAAGGAGATGTAGCAACCGTACCCTGCCAAGTTTACTAGGTTGGCCAATAGCATACATAGGACAGGGGCCTTCCGGATCAATCGCAATCGGAGTTCCGCTAGGAAACTATGAAGCTGGCTTCTCTTGTGGTTGGTTTCATAGTACATCTGGCAAGGTACTGTAATACCACCTTCCTATTGTTACCTGATTGCTAAGATGGGGCTGAAAGTCTCTGTAGCAGTGTAAGACACAGTGGTTGAACAGTTGATGAATCTAGTTTTCATCCTTTCAGGTTCCAAAGAAGAAGTTCTCACCGAGACGTGAGCCAGCCAATAAACGTTGTTCCAAACCTCGTTGTTCCAAACCTCGACTGCAGTTAAAGAAGCAGTAACTTGACATTAACATTATGCGCTAACCTGACAAGAATTATTTGACCCAGCGTGAGTTCCAGGCCAACACACTGGGAAATGTAGATAGCAGCGACCGCTTCATATAAAGCGGTACCGTCCATGTTTCTGGAAAAAAACTTGGATTTAAAGGCAAAAAAGCAGAAAGGGAAAACAGAATCTTTGATGGCAAAAAATAGATCGCATAGGAAAACATCAGGTAGCTCCAGAAATATACCAAGGGTCATTCATCATGGGACTAAGGACAGAGTGTCTAACTAGCTACCACTTATGAAACTGTTCTCATCGTGTAAAAATTACCTTCGAACAAATAAAGCATTCATTCTAAGATTAATCTCCCTTTGAGCGGTCGTGACATAACAGTTGCGGGCTAGGCGGCGTTTTAAACGACATCACGTACGCGGCATTCAAACCAGGGCCTGATGGTTGCGATATGGATGTGACACAATATATCGGGTCAACTAATAAGGGTGTCTGCGTGTTTTCTCAAAAAGCATTTCCCAAAACGACACCCCGTGATAAAAAACTAGACTCTACTCGTAGGTTTAAAGGCAGTTGGCACGATAAATCGCTATACAGGTGTAGGATTTGTACAACTGGCTTAACAGAATTCCGTGACCTCGGACAGGCGCTGCGTGAAGCCTTTTCCAAGGAGGGTACCTCTATAACGCCCTATTGAGCAACAACTTTACGTCCCAAACGCCTTCCTTGCCCGCCCGCCCACAAACGGACGACCGTTTCTGACGCTCGTATTCATTCATTTGCTGAGCAAATTATGAAGCAAAGGGATTGGTATGAAGCGGCGGTGATGCTGCATGCATATATGGGTACACATATGCAGCCGTATCTTCGGTAGCGGTGATTGGCAAGATGCGTACGGGAAACTCGTCCGAAATCGATTTACAAGTCACTGAGAACGGAGGCTTTTTCTTCGCAGGATTTTGACCGTTTCACTCCGTTCTTTCGCCATTTCCCCACTATACAGCGCCCTACTAGCATTTTAGGCTAAGTAGGAAACCATCGTGCCAACTGCCTTTAACGCAGCAACTTCTCAATTGCTCATCTAGGGCGAAAAATACGAGCACTCGAAGTAAAATTTGCAAAAATGAAATGTATAAAATCCTTACATAGTTGCTCCGAGTGGGAGGACGAATCGTGCTACCCGAGAGTCCACACCATTATTCTCCTCGACGCATTTGATGGAAAGCGGTAACGTAGCAGAACTAGAAATTAGTGATTTTGCTGCGTTCTGTGCATCAGGTAGTATGTATGTTTTGTCGATCATTAGGAAACTCTGCAAACGGAACGGAAGAACTATGCAGCTAGCACTGTGCGATTAACTTCTAATTGACTCCTTGTATATGTCATTTGCTCCCATTCGGACTTAACTATGTGAAGTACTGCAATTTCTTCAAAACCAAGTGGCTCTCAACTACTTCCCCTGCTGAGTTGCTCGACAGCTGCCAGACAACTAATGTAATATGAGCTCAACAAAATTTGACTAGCAATCTCAGAGCAAAATGAAAGCTCCTTAGAAAGGAAAAAAAGAAGGAAAAGAAAAAAGAAGGAGAAATCCTATCAAATGGTCAAAGAAAGTATCCGTTACCTGGAACTCGTAGCAAGTGCGGTTAAAAGCGCTTGTGCCATTCCGTAAACGTACTTGATTGGGTTCCGCCTTGCCAGCTGTAATTCAACGATAATGAATGGAACTTAAGTTTCGCAACAGTCACTGTTGAAGGCTTCAGTGCGAGAAGGTGCTGCTTGTGGATAATTCAGGTTCCTAGCAAGAGATCACCGCACTAAGCCACGCAAACCTGCCATGTATTTCGAGCAGGGATTTTACTGGTGAATGGTGAAAAACAATTAGTACCTTATAATTATACTCGAAATCCCTGAGATGGGGTAGGCCGAGCATTCGAACACTGGTTACTGGTGGAATATTCCAGTCTGGGACAACTGTCATCTTGTTCTGTATTGGACAGAGACACGACAACGATTGTGGAGATGAAAATATCGCATCAGAAGCGTAGACGCCTTGAGGGTAAGTTGAAAAATGCGGCCACGCCTACCCGATCTCAGGGATCTCGAGTGTACTTCTTCGCACCCTGGTTGGGGCTGCCCTCGCTTAATTCTTAATTACAAATATTATAATTACAACTTAGCAGCTTGGAATGTGTTGTTCCAGTGGTCTGCATCTGATGTCGCATATGCTTGTGATAGCGCATGTCGCACATTTGCACGATTTCGTGAAGTGCCTCCGCAGGAAAACTTCTCCGCAGGATTCGCAGGAGAAATTCTAGTGCTGCTAGAGCTGCGTGCGAACTGGTCACATACAGTGTTGTCGCCGCAAAGATGGCGCGTGTCAAGGGAGGAAGGTTTAGCGGGGCAGTGGGGTGCCAGTCCGTCGTTTTGCGCTTCGGGATGAGTAAGAATGTGTCACTTCGTTAGCATGAGTCTTTTCACCAGTTATTTACGCTTACCCTTTTCTATAACTTTGAGAACGGGGTGGCGGCGCGCCAAACTCGTCCTTATTAACACGCCCCGTCATCCACAGTGAACAAAACTGTATGCTCACTTCCTCAAGCTGAAGGCCTCCAACACACACTACTTCCTCATTACTGTTTTGAATATTTAATCACTGCAAAGCCATTTACCGTGAATCATGAGAATCGGCAACATGACGAAACCGTGAATGAACAGTCCAATAAGCACGGTGATCATGTAACCCATGAGCCTTTGCAACTCCTTCCCTGGGTCTTTCATTCCGACAATTTGCGACGCAATCAGAAATGCTATGCCAAGTGGTGAATACCTGAAAGTGAAAATTAGTTTAGAGGTTACCTCGTTACTTGCACCATAATTCGATTTCTAGTCATTTTACTTCAGAGCGTTCCAAGGTATAATCCCAACTGGGAGGACTCCCCAGCTTTTCTTGTCTTGTAATCACCTCCTCTGAAGGGGACGATTCAGCCGAAACTCCCAAGTCATATCGAATAAATATTATATGTTCCATTCAGTATTATCGAACAACCCTCCAGAGCCCAAAAACAGTAAACCACTTGTAACACCACCAGTAACAGTAACACCATAGTTTTCCAAATCCCTTCAGCTGATCAGCTGCAGCTGACAAGGTACTGTCATCGAAATGCGGAGGGAGGGGGGGAGGAGCGGTAGACGGTTTGAGTGGGTTCATTCCATGCCTCTTGACACCGCCCCCGACTGATTGTGACGATATAAGTTGTAAGGTATCTTGAGGAAAGCTGAAATCTTTGAAGTAAACAATAAAGGCTAACTCTATAGTGGCGAAAAAAACGGAGAAAAACGTGTCAACTGCCCTATATAGGATCCCCATTCCGATCCCAGTTTGTACGTTCCCAATTAACTCCCTCTCCAAAAGTGAGCCGTCATCGCGCAGCTGATTCCTCGATAAGAACTCTACGACCGTACAAGTGACGATTTCATGCTTTTTCGTCCTGCAGCTTCGTTTTCCACTGAAAGGCGGGCCTTGAAGGCGGAGTCTGGAGGCGGAGTCACTGGAGAAAATGAGGCCTCATTGAACATATATTGTGCTGTAGCATCCAGCGCCCACCCCCTTACAATTTTTTGCCCTGAAACCGGTACAAGCCTTTTCGTCCACACCTCGCTACCCTGCCGACATCATACTTTCAGCTTCTATACTTAATCGTGGACCGTACCTCTAAAGAGCAAAAGTAGCCAATCGATGAGTTGAACTACAGGAAAAATAGAAAAGAAAAGAGAAAATAAAAGAAATTTGCACGCTGTAAGGTGTTGTGACCCAGGGCCCTCAAATGGCCTTTTTGCAGCCGTTACCCAAACGACACTGGAATTTTCACCCCAACTTCAATGCAAATTTCAAAGCCCTTGGAAAAGGAACAACGGAAAGAGCAACAAGTACTGAAGTAGAGAGAAGTAATGAAAAGTAGTACCAGATGACGAGTGAAATCAGCTTCATGCTGACTGTTTCGAGACTTTTGAAGAACGCTTTCAGCGCATGTCCTTCTTCACCAATCCATCCGATAGTGATTCCTAGGGCAACGCTGAACATTACCAGCCCGAGAATGTTCATTCCATCTGAAGTGACCCGCTCCGGGAGCTCAGTGAAAGCAGCTCGCTCATCTGAAAACAGTCTTCACTCATCATTAACTGAATTTTTTCCAGACATTTTCAAGTGAAAAAAAGGACAATGAGTAACGATGAGGATCGATGCCAGTTCTTTTTGGGATTCGGGGAAACACTGCAATTTTAGAATGTTAAAATCAGCGGGAAGTAAAAAATTAGGAAGATGGTGGATAGAGTGAGTGGACCGGAGGTCACCGGAAGAAGAATTTCGGAGGGGGAGAGGAAGGATTTCGTCTGAGACGATCATTCCCCCATCCCGACGCTGTACCCTGCCCTCGACCCTCCTGCGCCGATCACGACTTTTTATTGAACGACTTTGAATTGAACGCGATAACACAACAAACCTGCACTAAGTTTAAGTACAACATCGGGATTCATTTGTTCGGACCCATTGAGGAATTTCATGCACACTTTGTGAGACCGAAATGTTGCTTCCATGAGATTCTTCAGGAAAAAGGCTCCTGTAAGAAGATACTTTCAAGTGAAAAAACTCTGTGTCAAAAATAGGCATTGTCCACACTCACCTGACCAAATCAAGTATAGTGTCGACTGCAGTAGAAATGCAAGGAGCCTTATTGACTTCACCGACAATTTCTTCTATATTTGTATGCATCCATTTACCGGGCTGGATCATCACCACCAATACGATGCCTAAAAGAATTCAAACCACTCGCACTTCAGTGCATCACCTTCTAAATTCATATTTTGATCGCAGCCCTGTCTGGGGCAGCTTGGGCAAGAAATCGGTCCTTTAAGTGGACATTCAAACCACAAAATCTCATCAGCTTGAAGAGAAAACGCCTAGTGCCTTTGTCACAGGCTCTGATGTTCCACGCCGATTTTGACACCGGCACTGTGCAAGGTGTTGTGCGGATGTCCTTTTCGTGCTTAGAGGATCAGAGTATTCTTGAGAAAAGTCCTCAGCAAACTTGGTAGCTTGAAGCGCTTGGCGCTGGCGCCTGGATGCCAGACCCTACGGGATGCACATTTCGTGCAGAGTAAGTCAAAAACAGAAAGAAAAAGGAACGCAGAAAGACCTATTTAAATCTGTCTGCAGGGGGAATTAGCTCAGAATCTGGCATGATCTCCGGAAAATAGGGCACTAAAAGGTAAACAGTGCCGGATTTAATGATGCAGTTCAAGTGCAACTGGGAAGATTCTTATTCTTACAGTTATTATCAATATTCGCTGGATTAAATGCTTTCAGGCATTGATAGCGGGTTGATGCCGGGATTACAGTATCCAGAAAAATGCGATGCAAGTGGGAAACCATAATTGACTTGCTATTACGTTTTACTGACAGTTTTAGGGACGGAAAACAGGCTCGGCTGTCTTAGGAAAGGACTGTGGTTAATTTTTTTTCGCTATTTCCCTCAAAATTAGTAGATGCCTTATCTCGAATGGTGATCCCCTTCTTTCAATATTTCATTGAACCAGCCCTCAGCTACTAAAAGAAGGAAATCATACAACAAATGTAGCTCAGGGATAGTTCGATCATAACAAGATGAGCTATGAGTGAATCGCTGCGCCTCATTCAGACCCGAATTCGGTTTTCAAGCACCCCGGCAAATGTTCCGCAATTATGCTAAAGTCAGATTTAAAGTTTGCCTTTAAACAATCACAAACCTACCAAGAATCACAGCCATCATTGTTGTTATGAAGTAGTAGAGTAAAGATATCATCCCGAAGTTTGCCCGCAGTGTGCGGATCGACAGAGGCCAAGCTCGTACTGTAACAGAAGATATCGGTGGTCGCATGGGTAAAGCTACAAGAACTCTGCACTTTTTGATTCTTCAGTACACTTCGTAATTGGAAACAAAGAGGATGCAGTGCGAGGGAGAGTTAGCAGTTGCACTGCAAGGTAAACGAGAGATGCAGACAGGGCACACGGTCATTAGTAGTCTTTTGTTGTTAAAAGGGTTTGCATCAACCCCAAGAGTGTAAGAATTCGAGAACTCTAGAATAAGTAGGGATTTTCCCACCCCTCGTCTTCTTCCGCCATGGGTGACGTGGTTTGTTCTGTAGAACAAGGTAAAAGATGAGTTGATGCTAAGGTGATTTTTTGAGCTCTATGAAGTTATGGTGAAATCGTAGATAGTGTCATAAGCAACCTCAAAGGGTACAAGCTGCGCTCAACAACCAGTCGCTATGATGGACCGTGGCAATAGCTTTGGAGGTAGGGAAAAATGGCTTTAACGGTGAAACTGTTTTAAGGAAGTGTATGGTGGAAAAGGATGGTGAAAAATGTGGGCGTAAAGAACAAACAAGCTGAATGGTGTCCCCTGTCACCGCAGGGGAGCAAGCATTACTAGGTATACTTTAGAGGCGGTTCTCATTTTTGTTCCCAGCATATACACAGCCGTTTTCGCTCCAAACACTGAAGGGGGGAGGATGAGAGGCAAGAGGGCTAAGTGAGGCGGCAGTCCATCCTTCGCCAGTCGTTGAAGCGGGTCAACCACATCAGTTAATGGAAAATGAGCTAGTGCCGCGCCAAACCCAGCTTTCCTGATCCGCCCCGACGTTGAGAAGGAAAGTCACTCACAGAGGACAGAGAATCAGAGAAATGTTTTGCCGTTGAGCTCATATTTTTTTGGTCATATTCGGTCCCTGTACGGAAACAGAAGCAAAAATTGAAGAATGGATGCGTGTGCCTGAGACACCATGAGGAAGGAAAAGTATGGGGAAAGCGGTGAAGAAATAACGGCACAGTATTCACGATTCTTGAGAAACTACACTCCGCATCCAGAAGAAAGGGAGGGCGTAGCTGCGCGCTTCATCTGTGCGCAGCGGCTGACCGCTTTTTTTGACGGGGTGTTACCGTTCCGCAAGAACTGGAACTATGTCTCTGTCCACCAAAAGAAGGATCACAGTTGTCCCGAATGGAGTTTCGCACGATAACAGCGTCCCACTACGTACTGCTGTTTACTCAAGTGAACAAGGTAGCCTTGTCCCGTGTCTGGGTGAGGACTCCTGTTGGGGCTTAGGTGAGTTCGACCAAGTCAAGGTCACGCGAAGAAAAAAATCGGATAAGAGCAAGGAAGCTCCGACATCAGAAATGTTGAAAACTGCAATGTTATAACTACGCGTTAACCATAAACTTCATAGAACTCACATAATGCTTGACATAATAAGTGGTAGAATAAGCATTTTAAGCATTTGAACGAACACATCGCCAGGGAATCGTAGATAGCTCAAATGACGTTTACTCCATTTCACATCTGGATCTCTGAGCGTTATACCCAAAAGGACTCCTGCCACTACACCAGCTACCGTAAAAATCAATAAGATGTTCTCCTTCGCTAATCGTACCATCTGAAAACGCATTTCTTACAGGCGGATCGCAGTACTAGCCTACACAAGTAACGAAAATCGACTGATATTATTCGGAAATCGGAACATATCGGCAATTGTAAAGACCTAGAATAAGAGATCGTCGATTGTCACGATAAGTCAGATTGGTTCAGAGTACCGGAAGGAAAGACTTGAATCAAGAAAAAAAACCGATTTTCCAGTAACTTTGTCGTATTTGTTCAGCTTCAATCAAAACAAAGTATTATATAACAATGCATCATAATAATACAACGATAATATCAGTAAAACACTGCAGCACTATTTCGCGCCGATAATCAGCCAATAACTTCTTCGGCATTTGCAGGGCACATCTGAGTCTACTTGTAGAGGGAGGGGGGGGGGTCGTATTTGACTGCAGCGTGGAGAGTTTTCCTAATGTAAGGTCAGTAAGCATCAAACAGTGCAGCAGGACTGGCGCTAGAGAACGCTGACTTGCGGATGGGAAAGAACCCTTCAAGAAAAACACAGCGTAGGGGTCGTGTTCGACCGCTGTGGAGTGGCCACAATGACCTTCGAGTAATTTTTTGATGGCCAGTCTTTTCCGTTAAGGCCATAGTCATTGGGGAAAACACCAGAGAGAGGGGTTTTTGGTCGATGAAGCAGGTGAAGGGGGTCCTAAACGCGAGAAAAAAATTTTGAGAGGATTTTTTGTTTCCGAGTTAATTTATGATTTCCGGTTTCAAATGGGCTGAATAATCAGGGAAAATTTAGTAGCAGGTTTGAGCTTTTGGCTAGGGATAGGTAGTTATGTAGGTCGTGAGATACTGAGACATCGCCACCCCAGTGCTCTTCACATCTCCATAACCCCCCGCCGCTCCCCGTTTGACGGTAAAATTTAAGAAAAAACGTCGTCAAGGGGGTCGCAGGAAAGTAAAAAATTTGAGGTGGGTTGAATTTATCCAAAGTTTTACACAACCCGATGCTGTGCCTATATGTGAGAAACGTGAAAAGTTACTCTTACAATTCAAATAAGACTATACAACACCTATGGACCTTCTCGAACCCAGTGAGCACGTCTCATTGCACGAACAATCAATCTGTGGGAAGAACACTTTTGTACCACCCATGGTGAGGTCTTCGAATTCAAGTTCTCACGAAATGGTACAGAAGGAATCGGTTTTTCGATACGAGTGGGATTCCACGTAAGAAATCCATCGAAAATACCCCGTGAACTTGAAGAGCCTCCATTTAAAGTACGGTACATACCTATCAGAAAGTGCCAGCATCCTTCTTCAAAAAAAGACCTTATGGTTACAGAAGGTTTCACAAGGGAATTTATAGTCAATCAATAAGGCTCTTACTTCATTTTTGAAATCTGGAGAAGCCTGCTTCTCGATTTCCAAAGTGTCTGCTTATAGAGGGTTGAAGTTAGTCAAAAAGGGGTACTCCTGCAAACATCAGAAAGTTGTGTAGTAATCTGCCTCGGAGTGTGCGCCTACGACCACAAATAGTAATTGGAATGTTACAACGCGAAGGTATAACGATTTCTACTAAAAAAGGTCAAACCAAGATCCACTTCTAGAAAGAAGGAAGGAGGGCAGAACTGAAATGAAAGTTTCTCCCGTCGTCACGAGGGCCCTATGTTGACATAGAAATTTATAGACCCTCCTTGTCAGACGAGGGTTGGGCTTGGTCGGGGCGGTAGTCTTTACATACATGTCCCCTCCCTCCCTTTTTGGTGACACATAGTCTTGCCTTCCTTCGAGGGGGTGAGAAATTTCGTTTATGTTTCGAATAAGAGCGTTGGCAACGTGCCATATAGTTTTTACCATTCTATTCAGGCTTGGCACTTAGCTTTTTTAGAGTTTCGGGAGTTTTTCAAGGACTTTTGGGACCTTTTCGCGTTGCATCTGCGAAAACAAGAACTTTATGCACTTCACAACCACCAGAAATCCTGTTCGCATTTTCAAAGCTGACTTTTTACTTGTTTGGAATTCTTTCTTCGGTACTGATGGGATGAGACATTGTAATGTGATCTCTGTAAGAATAGTGTTAACACTTCAACACTTCAGAGAGCTCGAAGATCGAAGCGGAACGTAGGAGTAAGGAAATTTGTACTGGAATTAAGGCGGAGATGACTTAAA